AAAAAACAAAAATTAAATAGAACCCCTATCAAAGCGCTTTTTATGGAAAAAGCGCTGGGAAAGACCCCCCTATCAAAGCGCTTTTTCCATAAAAAGCGCTGTAAAAGGCCTGATAAATAAAAAAAAAATTTAAATAGCACACCTATCAAAGCGCTTTTAAAAAAGCGCTGGGAAAGACCCCCCTATCAAAGCGCTTTTTAAGGAAAAAGCGCTGGGATAGGTCCACCTACGACAGCGCTTTTGGCCAGAAAAAAGCGCTTTCGTAGCCTACGCCAGCGCTGGCTACGGCAGCGCTTTTAAGCGCTTTTAAAGGGCAAAAAAAAGCGCTGTGAAAGCCCATTTTCGTAGTAGTGTCACCAGCAAAATAATACCTACCTTAGCGGCAAAGAGTATTCTAAAATCTGACAGATAAAATCCATTGTGGTAACCTCCAAACAATGTTCTCTTGGACTCATTAGCTTGAAGATATGAACAAATGGATGATCGTCCAACCTCTGACAGGCTTGTAGAACATAAAAGAAGCACCATTGTTGATTTCATAAAGTAGCCAAAAGGTGACGTAAGTCGGGTATCTCATATCCGAATACTCACTCTTGTGGGCCTTGTATCTGGGAGATCTAGCTTAGGAATAGATCACGTCGTAAGTATTTGGGCGCTTATAACAAATGAAAAATAAGCAAAGCTTAGAATTTGTAGACGAACTCTCACAGTTACGTCGCAACCCAGCAAAGTACTTCACTTCAGTGAACCTTGTAGCCAGAAAGCTCCACTTATATCCTAATATAAACATCCATGGATAAAGATAATGGAACCGAGTCTATAAGCCGCTTATGGCTCTAAAATGTTCGAGAAAAAATCCCCAACAAAAGATATTAAACTCAATAAAGGCTTCTATGTGAACAGCCAAAAATATTGACGTGCCAGTCGTATCCGAACACTTCTTTACTGCGGAAATTCGTGCCCAGAGAGGCTTAACGTATACACCATAAGATATTTTATCTAAATCGGGATATGAACTTGGTTAATCCCCAAGGGGCTCTAGATGCCTATTGAAAAAATTCCTGAAGTGTGGTAGATTTTGAGGTTAAAACGAAGACCTCTGTCTAAATCGACTCAAAAGTCAGGGATAAAACGAATATTAATTTCACTACTTTGTGATACTACTAGTTTAACCGGTGACTGACCAAAAGTATGAAACATCCAGTGAAAATATTAGATGTAGACCCCAATAAGCATAAGTGTAAACGGGGTAATCGGGCCCTTTACATATACTAAAATTGGGTGGTCTATATCTCCAATATGGACATAATGCATACCTACAAGGTACTAAACTCGACTAAATATACGCACGGGGCTATAAGTGAATTTCTATGGAATATAAAAAACATTCAACGCAATAGGCTTCAAATAAACATAAGCGCAAGTGCAATAGAAATAAATTATCCAATCATTGTATAATGCATCAGACTTCTAAACTTATAAAAGTTCCATTATTTGGATGCTCTCAACTATATGAGAATTAACTTAGGCTCTCCAATTTATATATGTCAGAAAGCGCTAGGAATTAGTCCATTATCGAGACCATGAACTCATGGAAAGTTTAATAGGCCGAGATAAATTAAAAAACACTTCGCCCTTTCAAACCCAATGCCCTAACAGGCCTCGTACTTTTGGGGCTTATGTACATCCCAAAATATTAGTACCAAGGCCAAGGTATGAACTCGGATAAATAGTGAGGTACGAGGCCGTCCCTAAGATACCGAAGTTGACTACTTAGTTAGGCCCAAGTCGGGTATAAGCTAGACATAACACCACTGATTTACAAGAAGCCGGACCCGAGGAGGGAAAGAGGTGTAAATATAACCTAATGATAATACAAGCATTATAAAGTCATTAAGGGGCGGTTACAAGCATTATAAAATCATTAAGGGGCGGTTACTGACGTTGTAAAATGGCTTAATGGCCATTAGACCAAGGATTTTCCTATATAAAGGGTCTTTGGTGAATGGAAAAAGGATCTCTCTCTACGACATCTAAGAGATATACACAATAAACCATACATGAGGGGATCCCGCAAGAGGGATAAGCTAGACACCATTCTTGGGTCAATACATATCACTATGGTAGCACCCAAATCCCCAATCATTCTATAAACCTACTTTCGTGGCTTTCCCTATTCTCAGGGGAAGTTGGCCGGATATTTGTTCTATGCAAGAACACTTTATAAAAATTCCCTTGTGTTCTTACCAAACTGATCTCCTAGATACGACCAGGCGAGCTTTCACACTTTCTCTTTTTCACACTTTTGATTCAAGATTTTGCCAAATCCAGCAATCATATAAGCACTTGCTTGATTCTTGTTAAAGCTGAAGATATATTCAAGTTAAATGCCATCATCAAAGGATTTAAAAGGTGATCATCAATACCCTAGTTCATTAGCTTGATTTGGAAGAAAAGCTTTGAACAGACTATCTAGTGCATCTTTGGCTTCTTGACATACTTGTTTTGCTTTATGCTTTAGGGTTAGATTAAGCCTTCATAAGTTGTCATCAAAGGTTGCATCTTCACAAGTTTTCATCAGTAAAACCATGTTACCATCTTTCAAATGTCTTTCTTTAGCTTTTCTCACTTCTTAAATGACCCGCAAACACATGATTCACAACTATCTGAACCCAATGAAAGGTCCCGATAAACATCACACCCTATTGGTTTCTTCCTTTTCCTCTTCACTCATCCTTTTTTTTTTTTTTGAGGTGGTGGGCACATTGAAGTCATAGTGGGGTAAGCAATTCCACACACTCTACTTTTTAATTCTTTTTCCCTACAACATCCAATAACTTGAACCATCTCTACAATGCTTCTATTGCACTTGTAATGCCCACCTTTGATCCATCGTCTGTGTCAACCTCTTGTTGACCTTCCATGCTTAATTTCCTCCAATGTATATGAACTACATCTATAAGTATATGATCATCAACCAATATATATATATATATATATATATATATATATATATATATATATATATATATATATATATATATATATATATATATATATATATATATATATATATATATATATATATATATATATATATATATATATATATATATATATATATATATATATATATAACTTACAATAACTAGGTAACCCACATGATGTTCTAAGAGTACAACCCTCCAAATTTGAGTGTTGGTTTCCATATAATATACTTTCAATAACTCTTCAACAATGTGTCTCAAAGCAGCTTTTATGTGCGTTCTCAACTAGTGTGTGCATGCCCGGCTCATAAAAACTCTTCTGAAAAAAAGCTCAAATGCTTCTCAATTATAACTTCAAGTTTTTATTCATAGCCTTCTAACATTTGTATATGTCACCTATAATGTTCTCCAACATCTGCTTCAATTTCCAATGAGCAGGCTCAATCCTAAAATTAAAGAAAACATCAAGTAAGGTAGACCAAAAAACAAACTAAAAATACTAAAAATATGAATATGTTAGTCGTGGTGTTGTCCAATGTAGCATTGATTGATCCATGCTCTCACATATTTATGCCTATGAAAAATCAACCATGTATTTTAACATAATCAATGAATCCAACATAATCAACACATACTTGATCAAGTTATTACAACCGCTATAATACTCCACCTCATCACTAGCCCATTCAAGTTTCATCTATAGCGTGTCTATCACCTATTGCATATCATTCACAACATATTTCTCACATATTTCTTGAACATTTTTGTTGATGTGATATTTGCAAAGCAAATTAATCTTACTTGGTAACACAACTTCAATTGTTTTAATTAAAACAAGATCTCTATCAGTCAGAATCACTCGTGGTCTAGTCCCTTCCTTTCTAAACAATTATTTTAGCTATTCAATACCCAACAAAAGTTATTCGTCTACTTTGATTTCATATAGGAAAATGCAACATCAAATGTCAACTCAGCCGAAGACATACCAACAATTTCGAATAAAGGTTATGCGTACTTGTTTGTCTTGTATGTATTGTCCATAATCAACACAATATGAAAAATATTCAATAACTTCATTGAATCTAGGTGTGCCAAAAGAATATCCCGCATAACATATGTTTCATCTATTCTTATACTCCAGTAAACATAATTTGCATCATCCACCATCTTAAATCGAAATTACATCTCAATTCTAAGACATCTAATCTCTTTTTGTAATTTACTATTATTTTTATATATTTGTGTGATCCGAGTAACATTTGATCATGATCTTGCAATGAAAGTAATACGTGTCTGGATGGAATATGATGTTTTATCAAATCAACAACAAGTTGTCTTTCTTCTGAACTCAGGCGACCAATAAATGAATGACCTTCTAATCTGTCAGGTAAATTATGGTTGTGAAGTTTACATTTTACATTAATCTACCATCTTGAACCATCTTTAGACGGTGTTGATCTAATTTTAAATGGGCACCAACATTATTTAGTTGTGCTTTGTGTTGTACTATCAATTTTCTTGTACTTTCCACTTTTATCACAACTAAATATTAATTCATTGCTTCTTCCATTTTTTTTCCGTTTTAGTATTTGAATGAGTAATGATAACAATTACTTTATGTCTATTTTCAATCTCTTTAATCAACTTTATCACTTCTTTTTGTGTAGTAAATTTTTCTACAATTGAAAATGCTTTTGTAGTATCAACTCATATCTAGTTTATATCACATATGTGTGAAGGATTCTCCATAATCGTCAAATATAAAAAAAAAAGAGTAATTTTTTTAAATACCTGCATACTGGATAACTTCTAGGTAAATTATCCGATGAACTAAATGAAGACTATCAAAATACTTATAACCAAGTTACCTGGTGAAGATTACAATATCTGGTAACTTTTTTGTAAGTAACTCGATGCACATATAATATAACATTATAGGAATACTTATTGCAAGTTATCCGGTAAAAGGAAATTATGTATTAGAATATCTTGGACAAAATTATCCAATACGCAATGGTAAGGGTGTGAAATGCTTCAATTTCGAAAAACTTAAGAGTGTGTTTGGATGAGACATTTTAATGAGTAAATGTAATATTTTGAGAGAATTTAAAATGATTTGGACAAGATTTATTGTTTGAATAAAAAAATAAAAAGAATTTTTAAAATGACGGAAATGACACCTAAAATCAAAGAATTTGAAATTTCTCTCATACTCCATAGAACGTGAATGTCAAGTGGAATATTATTATGATTTTAAATTTTGTAAATTGGTTCACATATTTTAAATTTTTTACAAATTGATCCATAAAATTTTCTAAAAATTGCAAATTGATTCTTAATAATTTTTAAATTTGGTAAATTGGTCCATGTATCTTCAAACTTTTACAAATTGATCCTTAAAATTTTCTAAAAATTGCAAATTTGTTCTAAATTTTTATAAATTGGTCCACATATTTTCAAATCTTTACAAATTGATCCATAAATTTTTCAAAAAATGCAAATTGGTTCTTAATAATTTTTAAATTTTACAAATTGATCTCTTTCAATTTTTAAAATTGCAACTTGGTTCATATTTTTCAAATTTTAAATTTAGCCTCAAAATATTAGATTTTATAAAAATAACTTTAAAATTATCAATGAATGATTTTAATACTCTATCTAAATAAAAAAAATTAAATAAATAAATTTCAATTGAATCATTTAAATGATTTAGAATGTTAAAAAAATTCCATTGCGTCGTTCATACACACTCTAATTATGAGGATAAAATTGAAAAATAAAATTATTTAATAAATAAAAAAAGATAGAATTAGAATATTTTGAAAAATATAAGGGTGAGGCATAATAATATAGGGAAATGGGGTAAAATTTCCGATCCAATGAAAACCCCCTTCCCGTTTGTGGTTCTAAATTCCGAATTCTCATTTCCGTATCACTTGTAATTCTAATCACAGCATTCTGGTTTCAGTAATTCTCTGCTACCCCGAAATCGCATTATTCTTAAAAAGGTAGGTTTCAATCACTATTTCTTCTACTTAGTTTATCAATGTTGAATCAGATTCTGCAAATTAACTCAAATAGGGTTTGAATGATTCTTTAATCGTTGAGCTTTTTATCTATGTATTCAGATTCTAAATGACAACTATGCAGTTTGTTCAACTTTGCATCTATTTATTAGCTGGAAGTTCATTTATATGGTCACCTGGAAACTGTTCGCTTGGTTCTCCAAACTCTAAATTTTTTATGCAGTCTTATTATGACCGACATACAAGCTTGCATGATTCAGATTATGAAAATTTCATGTCTCAAGAAATTGAATCTGGTCTGTGCCAAGTGCTTCCGGAAAACCATAATTCCTCGTTAAGATGGTCAGTTATAAGACGCCATCTTGTTGGTGAAGGTTCTCACCGCCGCGTGTCTACATTAATCAAATTACAAACCCAACAACTTTTAAGTTGCTCATGTGAATTAATACTTATTGAAAGACTTCCTTCTGGAGTTTTTGCCGATCCGTTTGAATTACAAAGTCTTGCTCAACGCGGTGGTAAAATCTCCTCATCTTGCTCAAAACTACATCTTTACTTTTTTTAACTTATCTTCATATTTCTTCCAATCAACAACACCTTTTATTGCAGTGTACGATGATATAGCTGTCTTTGGTGACACAAATCTCGAGTTGCCTTCGTTCTTGTCCAATCGTTCTGCCGTTGAAATCCACCTACAAGTTGATCTAAATACATTGCTACAGCCAACTGATATCAGCATAGAGCTTCCTTTGCACGCACGATATCAAGTACGCCTTATAACTCAATTTATATCTTAATGCCACTTTACATTTGTGAATCTAATGTCTTGTAGGCAGTATTACACAAAGAATGAATCACACCATTTTAGCCCTTAAAGTTGTTTAAGGGTTAGACATTTTGGTCTATGAAATTGAAAATCTCTCGTAACATCAGTGCTTCTAGATCGGTTAATTTAACCCCTGAAATCGTCTTGAATAGACTTATATGATTAATGATTTTTCATTTTAGAGACCATTTTTTATAAACAAATTGCTTTCAAAGCCCAAAGTGTGCACCACTTATAATTTCACAGACATGGTTGTTGCCAATTGAACTAAGCACCTTATGATAATTGCTTCATCTATAGAGAGAGATCATGATATGATTCTCTGCAACTTTGTCCATATTAAATCACTTCTATAATCCATTATCTACTAATAGTACTAAAGTTTGTCCTTCTGAAAGAATTAAAAAGTTGTCATAAACAAAGTACTATACTGGTATTGTATTGCTAAAGGTTGTTCCTTACCAAGTACTGTACTGCACTATTTGCCTCATTTCCCCCTTTTTTTTCTTCTTTTGCAGCCTCTGAATGAAAGTGGCTATTCAATAGTCGAATTTAGTGCACCGGATACGTTACTGCGCTGCCGCATGAAGGAAGAACTGGAAAATAGCAATTGCTTGTTCAAATTGATAAATGATGATGCCAATCTGTATGATGCTGCTCTTGTTTGGAGAATACCATCTGGAAAAATGGCGCACTCTCATCTTGTCTCCATTGTTACATTTCTTACAGCCTTCTTATCAACTCTTGTAGTTATGGTAACATCGTTGCATTATTTTAATAGTAGAGTTAGTAAAGATTTGAAACAGTCGTAAAGGTTTTTTTTTACAAATGCAGCTTTATTCAGTGATTCTATACATTCATTATTGAGTTAATATCTATTTTTTCCCTGGACGATACTTGAAAAACCATCAAACCAATATGATGTACCTCTAAATTAAGTATAGTGTTGCACCATATGAACCCCACCGAAGAGCAGTTGCTGGAGTTTGCGTTACACTAAGCAAGTGGAAAATAACCTCCATTGCAAAAATTCATTTGTAACTAACATGAACTCATCCTTGTACTGTCAATTTACAATCAATGTATCTTGTACTAACATTTGACCCATCTTTCTAATTTTTTTTTTTCTTTTCGTTTTGAGTTTAATTAGGTAGTGAAAGCAGGGCCTTCTTTGAGGGAGTGTAAGACGCGCTATCGTACAGGGTCTCAAAATTTTAACGGTTAAATCATAACTAAATAAGGCTTCATAAATATTTGTCATTGTTAAAATATGATTAAATAAGACATCTAATTCTTTTGTTATGATTGAGCAATTATGAAATTACACAGGTCCTTTAAAAATTTGAGACGTCTCTGAGTAAATAATTACATTACATATGTGAAATCATATTAAAACAATTTATATTTTTTTTTATGTATAGAAAAATAAAATAATATTTTTTTTAGTTAATAATTCAACATCTGACCTCCTAGGTGCTCTAATGGTTTTTAGTGCAATTCTAGAAATCAAGCTTTAAATATTTTTTTTAAGGGAAATGGTGTTATCAACTCTTCTAACACTATTGATAAAACAAAATAATATTTAATTGATTAAAAAATAATCATAAATATATGTTAGAATACCGAGTTATAATAAAAAAGAAGAGAGAATAGAAATTGAAGCAATCAATTGCATTATTGAGTTTAGCTTAGAATTGTACATGCATCAGTGTTGTACTCCAAAATTTGCCCTCTCATGTTTTCTAAGGTTTTCTCTTATATGGGTGGTCACAAACTTATATAAAGAAAATGAATTTTTTTGAATGATGTTTAAGTATCCTTCAATTGACATGTCAGCAATATCCTTCGACTGACAGATGAACAAAAGAGTCTTCGATTGACATGTCAGCAATATCCTTCGACTGACAGGTGAACAAAAGAGTTTTCGATTGGCATGTCAGCAATATCCTTCGATTGACACCTGGACAAGGAGTTTCGACATCAGATTTAGAGCGAAGAAAATAGATCCATGTAAACGGGCTATAATCATCAATAAAAGTTACAAAGTATTTATACTTTGCATGAGACAAGACTGGTGACATACCCCAAACATCACTATGAATAAGATCAAAAAAAATTTTGGCACGATGAACTATAGAGGGAAAGAGAAGAGTCTTGCTTTTAGCAAGTTTGCACACAGAACAATCAAATACAGAATTAGGAATAACAATTTTATTACTCAACAATCCACTTTTCAATAAATGAGCCAAAACAATTGAGTTTGGGTGACCCAATTTTTATGCCTGTCCTCATACTTATTCGGGACACCATTACAAGCAAAATAAAAAATATTAGACAAAGAAAACTGGAGAGGAAATAGTCTGGACATTTTATGCCCCATCGCGATCACTTTCCACGACGCTTGATCCTGCACAGAACAACCATCACGAGAGAAATTAACATTACAATTGTTATCGACCAATTGTCCAACTGAAATCAAATTTGAAACAAGCCCAGGGGAAACAAACACATCTCGAAAGGAGGAATTAATGTCTCCAACAGCAGAAATAGAAAGAGTATTACCATCAGCAATTTGGATATTTTGGGTGTCACGATAAGTTTGAACATTGTGTAATTTTTCAGGGGAACCAGTCATGTGGTTAGAGGCCCCATAATCAACAAGCCAAGGTTGAGATGCAGTTTTAAACTTACCATGAAGACCCAAGGCAAAAAGGGCTGCAAGTACCATTTGTTGTACGGCCTCTGGAGTCAAGGGAGCACCACTAGAAGTTGTAGGACCAAAAGTCTGGTCCATAGAAGTTGTAGTTGCATGTAAGGCATGCAATGGCTTCCGTGGTGGTCTAGTTGGGCAATCTGCGATGATGTGACCATGTTGCTTACAATAGTTGCAAAATTTCTTACTATAATTCCGAGTGACATGACCAAATTGCTTGCAAGAAAAGCATTGAACTTGTCGCATATCACGACCTGTGCCTTTACTTTGGGTAGTGTAGACAACAGAGACATGATCAGCAACAAAGTCATCACGGGATAAGGTCAGAAGATGCTGCTCTTCTCGAAGTAATTCTACAAGAAAAACATCCAAGGAAAGGGCTAGATTCCTATTCAGCAAAGCTGCACGCACAACATCAAATTCAGGTCGAAGCTTCATGAGAAATTGGTCCCATTGGCTAATCTGATAAACTTTTTGGACAGCAGTGAGTGAATCTTTAGAAACATCAGTGTGTACGATAGCTGAATGATCCGCCCAAAGAGTAAGGAACCCGGAGTAATAGTCCTGGATATAGATATTTCCCTGACGATAGTTAGCAATGTCGAGCTCCGATTGGAACCGTTTGGCAACGTTGTCCTGATTGTAAATATGCTTTAGATAATCCCACATATCTTTTGTAGTAGAGAAAGCACGTAGGTTGTTGATCATGTGAGGTTCAACAGAAGCCAGAATCCAAGTTATAACTTTGGTGTCCTTTGTTTGCCACCCCGCCAATTCCGTTTTGGCTGTCGGAGCAGTGGACTTATCTACATGGTCATCCCAAAGGCCTTTCCCTTTCACAAACATTTGGAACTGAAACTCCCAAGCTCCATAATTTTTTCCCGTAAAGCGGAAGCCATGAGGAGCAAAGAAATATGACCAAAAAATAAGATAGCACAGAAAAAAACAGCAACGTTGCAAAGATAGAACAATAAAAAATAACAACATTGCATACACATAACAAAAAAAAAAGCGCTACAATAAGAAACAGGACCCAAATGCACTACATCAGTACAACACGAACCAGAAAATCAAGATTACCAATCTATAAAACCAGAATCAGACTTGTGATACCATGTCAAATGTAATTGGCTTGATGCCTTCTCTGTTTCTATTCTCTTTTATATATAACACAATTACATTTATAAGTAATAGTGACTAATTAACTCTATTTCCTAAGTTATACAACCTAAATTAGGAAGTTTAATCCTATACATTCAAATAAGTATATTCTTGATTCTATTTTCTGATTTCTCAAAACATAAAATAAGAAACAACCATAAATGACAGATATCCTCATTGACAAGTTTAAGTTGCAAGTCACTTACATGAAATAGAAGTAAATTGCCACTAAAAGTGAATTACATACTGAATATTCATCCTAATTCACATAAGTTAACTTTTTGTGTCTATAAACACTTTTAAGCAATCAAATCTTGTTCTCTTCAATGGACTGGCCAAAAGATCTACAAGTTACAACTCTAACTTACAATATTCAATTTCCAACCCGTTCTTGCTCACTTGATCTCTTAGGAAATTATACTTACTTCCAGTATGATTGTTTCTTCCATTACTCATTGGATGATTAGCCAAGTCAATTGTTGACTTATTGCCAACTGAAACAACCGACTGAAAATCATCAAAATAATGAAGTCGCCATCGAACGTCTTTTATCCCACGTGTAGGGAAAGGTAAAAATCGAGAAAACCTGAGAAGGGAGAAGTCACGGTCTTGCAACCGAGAGATCGGGTAAGGGAGTCTGTTACGCGAGGGGAAGGTATTAGCACCCTACACGCCCGTAGTACTCTACGATATCCACTCTTGTTATCTATCTTATGGGTGTATTTAATCTATGCTTACTGTTTACTATATTATTGAAAGGAAGAATGCATGCAAAAGAAAGGGGAAAAGAATGTAGGAAAAATAAAATTTTGCTCGCTTGGGCCCTACCCCAATGCCTACGTATCCGTTTTGAGGAATCAGAGCTACCGTAGTTCGGCTTATATGTTTTGTTTGTTTGTGTTTTTTATGGACGAAGTTAATTCCGCCTTCTGCCGCAGCTCGACCTTTGGAGACTTATGCGTTGGCACAGAAGTAAATTAATCATGTCCTTACCTGAAAAGGGTTTTAAAGAAAAGTGCTCGAGCACACAAATGGTTTGAGTTGGTTTGTGTTTTTGTTGCAGATAATGACTAGTCGACCTCAAGAGAGAGATATTAGCCACTTTTCTACTTAGCTATGAAAGGAGTCTTTGAGAATTGAACCACACATAGGCTTGAGATGAATAACAATAAGATCGAGAAGAGACCCGCTTATCATTTTCCATACTAAGCAAAGGCATGATTCTCATCAGTAGTTTTTTTTAAAGTGTTTTGAATTTTGAAAAGAAAAAGAAGTTTTAGTTTTAGATGCGTATGCAAAAGGGAAAGAAAAGTCACAGGGGGACTAGCCTATTTCTAAATCTAATGTTATCATACATTAATAGACCTTAAAGTTAGAATTTTGAGGGAATTCTACCTAATGTTAGCATGCATATGGTTTGTGATAAAGTCCTACTTCTCATGATTTTTAGAGAGCGGTAAAGTGCGAGAATAAGGAATAAAATAAAGTCACGATGATACCGAATGGAGGAAGTCCGTTTCCTCCTTAAAGCCACGCAAGCGATAAGAAAAATCTACAGATACTGCTCCACGCAAGTGATCAAAGAATTTGTCTCCAAGCATTCCATATTGCAAAAATTGCGTCATCACCATCACGAAATCTTGACTAAAAAAGGCAATGAAAATGGTTACTAAACATAAACACTAATAGAAAATTCTAATTAAAATTCTAAAAAGAAATTCTAGAAAAATTCTATTATATACTACCACTTTTTATTATTATTATTTTTTATAGAGAAAATTCTAACAAACTAACAAGAATTAATTCCTAAATCAAAAAAACTAACAAGTTTTTATGGATTTTAGAATTTTATCGTAAAAAGAAATAGACAAAATTATATGCAAAAATAAAATCTTAAAGATTATGAGGACAAGGGGTGTAGTATTGACATCAGGGTGCTAGGCCCATAGGAAATAGCCCAATAAGTCATTTTTATTGAACCAGCTTCAGTTTCCAAAAAAAATGGTGATGGACCTAGTGGGATTCGGTTTAGCCCATACCTTATTCTTTATTCTTCTTCATTTTAGAAATAAATGAAAATAAAAAAAAACAAAAGAAACAGAAAATCGGAAAGAGGCGCGAAATTTAGGGTTAGAACGAGTTATCTTCTTCTCCTTTGCGATTCAGCGGCGGCGGTTCTCTTCTTCCCGACTGAACTTCTTCATCGCCGATTCAATCCCAACCGTCGTTACCTGACCGACATGCTCGTCGTCTTGGGATTCACCGTCTCAATTCGTCTCTTCCATCATCTTCTTTCCTAATTTATTCACCGCCGCAGAAATGCTCTGGCCACCACACGTTTGTGAACGACTGTGCTCATTCTCATCACTTCATATTCTTACTGCCAACCTCCTCTTTGATCTCCTTCCATTCATGATTCAATCTTCTTTTCTCTGCTCGATTTTACTTCGTCTGCTGCGTTGCAGAAGCTTATTCTCCATCGCTCAACCTCACCAATTCGCCTTTGACATCGTGCATTCGTCTGCTTCAGTTTTCGTAGTTCAAGCAAACCAACGAACAATAACACTAATAAAATGATAAAGGAAGAGGCTGAAGACTGTTGCCTACCGGAGATAGTCTGGTGCCTCTTCCATGGCGATAACGATGAGAAATCCACAAGATAAACCCAGGTACATGTTTGCTTTCGATATTGCTTCTTCTCTTTTCTTCTGCGTTTTCTTTGTATAACTTGTGTAGAATTGTAACTGAACCGTGTGTGAATTATTGATTATTGAATAAGGAAGTAGAACATAGGTTGAGATATGGAAGATGGTGATGCATGGAAGTTGAAGAAAATGGATGCAGATGGATGAAATTCAAGATGCAAAGATGAAGGTTGTTGAAGTTTTCAGGGAGAAACTCAAGAGAGTCTTGAGAGAATTTTTTGAGGTGAGGTTTTTGTTTTCTCCCTACTGTTATCAATCCCTCCTGTTGTGAATCTTTTGTTATGTATTGTTGTTGATATTTGCGGTAACGGGTTTTTGTGAAATGGTCGTTCTTACGATGTTAAATGCTGCAGATTGATGTAACTGTTAAGAGCAGAAGAGGATTATGATGGGGAGAGAACTCGAGAGACGACTGAATCAAGTTGAGCCATTCTTTTTTGTTAGTTATATCCTGTTAGTTATGTGGAGGTTGGTTGCAAATATGCTATGGGTTAGTTATATGCAAACTGAACTTTAGAGTTTTTTTATAGAATTGGTTTAGGTGGTTAGGAGAGGTTTGTTATGAATCTGTTAGGAATTGGTTTTGACAGTTGGAAGTTGGTTATTCTGTTTGGTTTTCTATTTGAAATGTTAGTTGGAATTGGTTAGGAGGCTGTAGGTTTGTTAGAAATTCTGTTATGAACTTTCTTATGTGCAGGGCTGTTTAGAAAATGGTTAGGGAATGCAATTTTGTTTTTTTTTTCTCTCGTGCGGGGTAGCAAATATGATTTTCTGATTAATTTTGGAATCATAAATTGAATCGTTTTTTGTTGATTTTTCGGTGCAGGTTCATGTTTGGATATCAGGGCTATTGGGAAGCAAAGGCAAAAGGAAAACACCAAGTGAGGATTTGAATGAGTTTGGAGATGATATGGAGTTGGAACAAAGACGCACAACACGAAGTTTTGGAAGCTTGAAGTTTGGGTTAAAGGTTGAAGCATGAAGAATGATTGAAAATTAGGATAGGTTTTGGTAAAAATGTATAGATGTTGTGTATAATTGTAATGGAATTTGGACTTGTATGTATTTGAATACATATTGGAATGTATGTTGACTTCATTTCCACATAATGAAATGACTTTTGTATGAATTCAAATAATCATGGTATGAATCCAAAATATTTGCAAGGTAATCAAAAGAGACTTGAATCTTCTTATCAAGATATATCCCCCTTGAATGATATCAAGATATATCCCCCTTGAATGATATTTGAATGAATGAATCTTCCTAGAAACCATATGAACGAATCTCTCACCCTTATCTTGAATCAAAATCAAATCCGAGCATGATTAAAAGTTTTAACGAATCCAATTCAATAATCATCAGTAAGCCAAGTTACTTGCGATGTGAGGTAACAAGTATTCGAAAGAACGATGAAGTTTTGAACTCAATGGACTTACAACTTCATGCTATATTCCACAGCTTGCATTTTACAATCCAATCCACACTATATCTTGACTTCATGGACAACAACAATGTCTTGAGGGCGCCTCGAAGTATAGAAAGAAACATAATATGAAGCCCAATGAACCTCAGTCAATAGATACTACAAATTCGAATATAGAGGACATGACACCCTAATCAACTTGTGTTTGATGAATTCTTAATGGAGGATGACCTTGTAGCCTGATGAAGGAAAGATCCACAACATCCACGAACAAAAACCCTAATTCCACAATTTCACTGCCTTGAAAAAAACCCAGAAGAATCAGGCTTTATTGAACATATACACCTTAGCCAGTTGATAAAACCCTAATCTTGAAGGTTCTCGACCCCTTGCGAAGTTATGTTGTTAGCGAATGTATGCAATGTTAAATGACCTAATGGAGATATGTACATGAGAAAAGCGTGACAATGCCTAAACCAGATAAAAGTAAAAGGGTAGGACAAATTTGGGGTATTACACCAACCAACAGTTTGATCTTCAAAATTTCACCAGTCTCCAACTCTTCTAACAACATTTTCATCCAAAGTGCTTGATAAGTTGCATAAGAAGCTACTACATGCCCTACTTCAAAAGATGATAGAGCCGTTATACCTTATTTCTTCGAGCTTCATGATATTGGATCAACACCAATCATGAATAAGAACACAATTGTACTTTTTTAGTCATCTTGTTCTCCTTTCCAATCTGAATCAGAATACACATATTACTTCTCCTTCTTAGTTGTATTCTTCTAATTTGGCATGAGTACATCATGGTGTACATTGTACTCGATGTACCTTAGAATTCTCTTGGCTGTTAGTAGATGGTATGATCTAAGTTTCTCCATAAACCTACTTACGAAGCTAACACTATGGCATATATCATGTATAGTGTTGCATAAGTACCTTAGTGAGCCAATTCTTTGTACAAGGTTTCATCTACACATTCATCATTTGTATCTTTCTTCAGCTTTATACATGTTTCCATGGGAGTAGTTACATGATTGCAATTTCCAATTTTGAACTTTTTCAAGATGTCTAATTCATATTTCTTTTGATGTGAGAAAACTCTACCTAATGTATTCGCAAACTCCATTCTTAGAAAATAAGCCAAGTTTTCTAGGTTAGTAATTTCAAACTCATTCTTCGTGTTGGCCTTGAATCTTGTCAATTCAGCCTCATTTGATCATGTTATCAATATATCATCTACCAATAGTATAAAATGATTTGTTCATGCTCACATGAACCTTTCACATACACTCCATGATTTGATGCGCATTTGTTAAATCCTAGCTAGCAGAGAAAATTGTAATTTTTTTGTTCCATGCTTCAGGTGTTTGTTTCAATTAATACAATGATTTTGTCAGCCTATACACATTCTCTTATGAAGTTGCTCTGCCTCCTAAAATTTTCTCTAGTTTTATGTTTTGTTGCTTGTCAATTTAGTATTTTGGTTTATTTGTCGTAATCGTGTGTTCTCACATAATTGTGTATTCTAGATTGAGTGCTAAATCATTTTTATGCATGCATAAATTAAACTATTTGTTTAAAGTTAATGTAATATATTTATAATCAATTAATTAGAGATTTGGATCAAGAAACACATGAGAAGGTGATTCAAATAAAACCAAGTATCGATTCAAAATAGTACTTTGTTTATGTTAAAATTTAATTATTTTTTTTGAAGTGTGATTCGAATAAGGAAATTGGTTGTCTCGAATCAAATTTAATGGGGAAAATCAATAATATATTCTATATACTTGATTCAAAACATGAAAAGGGTGACACGATGGATTCTGAAAAACAGGATTTTGCTTCTATGCATTTGATTCAAATCACTGAAAAGTCTGACTCGAATCGTGGAGGTTTGGATTCGAATCAAAAAAGGCTTGACTTGAGTTAAATCTTGGTTGCAAATTTTGGATTTTGATTATGTATCTTGATTCGCATCATCGATTTGTATGACTCGAATCATGAAAAACTTTATTCGAATCATAGATTTTGGTTATGTAGCTTGATTTGAGTCTCGTGACACTTGTAACATTGAATTTGATTTCTATTGAGTCTTGCTCTACCACGACCATGAAATCCACCATGTCCTCGACCTCAATTGTTGTTACCACCACAGCGATAACTTGCAATCTTTAACACTTGTTTGTCTTCCTTTTCTCATTTAATCTTCATTCTTTGCTCATGCACAAGAAGACTACTTTGTAACTCATCAATGGATAGTGTTGTAACATCGTTTGATTCTTCTATGGAGCAAACCACATAGTTGAATTTCATGGTGATAGACCTCAACACCTTCTCAACAATGCTAGTTTGTGCCATTCTTTCACCTTGAGCAATCATCTTGTTTGCAATTGCCAAGGATCTTGTGAAGTATTCATCCACTGATTCATTATCCTATATGCAAAGTACTTCAAATTCACGACGCAAGGCCTGCAACTGTGCCCTCTTCACTTTTATAAAACGTTGATACACAAACGGAAAAAAAAAGAAAGAAGAAACTACTACTTTTTCCCGTCTTGAATGAGAAAACTGCGTTTCGTGATTGAAGAAAGAACACCTGGATCAACAACCGGTGCCTGATACCACTTGTAAGAGTATGGGAAAATATCATATTATTGTCTCAACTATAGATTTTTTATACTACAAAAATAACAAAACCTATCTAATCTATCAGTGTACTAAAATATATCATCCACATTCTCAAAAGAGACCCAAATCCCAATCACTTTAACTTGAGCTTTTCACCTGGATAAACCTCTTTTATTGTACTTATCATATTCACTTTCTTGGTTGAATTTTTCTGAATATTCTCTTTGTTTTTATGACTAGATGTCTTACTTGGTTGTGCAGCTTTTTCTCCACCATTCTTCCTGCAAAACAAGAGATAAAGTCAAGTCAATGGTGTAAGGACTAACAGAATCAGCATTATGTAATGAGCACAAACCTTCTGTTGAGAAACATGAATAACAAACCAACAGCAGTGGCACCACCCAAGACTGATCTTAACAGTAGCTTCTTTTGGGATTCTGATTTTGGTATTTCTATTTCACCTTCTTCTGTCTCATCTTCTGGTTTTACTTCTTCCTGCTTAACAAAATTGCATGACTGACTCGATTTGGTATACGGAAATGAATTAACATAAGCATAAGCATGTCTAATAAAAGATCAAAAGTCTACACTTACTTTAATATGCACCAGAGAATGTTCTGGATGGTAAATATGATCCTTGTCGTATTGAGATGCTTGTTGAGCCTCGTTGTGTTCGAGTTTTGAGCTTTGATCTGTTGCGCCACATCCAATGTGAGATACATCTACTTCAGAGTTTGTAGGAGCTACAACATCATTGGTTATGATATCTAGTATTCTCGGACCTCCATCTCCAATGTCTCGAGCTGTTGCGACATCTTTGCCACTGGAATCTTTAGTCTCATCATCTTGAGATGGATCTTTTTCATATTTATCTACTAAACTTTGAGATTTAGATACAAGATCCGAAAAACCATTGTTTAGTTTACCGTCACTGTCCAACTTAATAGCGGCTGCACTAACTATACCTTCTTTGCTTGGTACGCAAGACAACAGAATATTGGACATCATAACTTCAGAACCCTTTTGTTTACTAGGTGGCACAGATTCCTTATGAGAGACATCTTCCAAAACATATGAGGAACTTTGGCTATCTTTCACTCTATTTGAGGCTGTAGCACTTTTTCCTTTCTGATCCCATTTGCAAAACTCAGGCAAATGATAAGAGTGACAGGACAGAAGCTCCTCGGATTGGTTGCAATTAGCGTTATCCGAGCATCTTGACTCAACTTGTGACTCCATGACTTCATCTGCTAGATAATTTTTCAGTAGGGTTGAGCTAATGTCATTGCTATGAGGTTCAAGTATATCTGAAATATTAGTATTGCAGGAGTGACAATCAGGAGAATATAATGAATGCTCAATTTCCTCAAATTTATTTACAGAATATGAATTTCTTGCACTAGAAGCAATCCCGTATGCCAATTCCTTGCGTTTCATTATGTCTTGAGCTTCATATTCTTCTATCTTGTCCCAATGATCATTCTTGTCATTGTATAATTCAAAGCACTCAATTTTCTGATCATTAGTCTCTGCATCAAATAAATCTCCCAAATTCATTGGCACCCTTGATACACAGCTTACGCCAGCTACGTGCAGAACCTCCATATTATCAGAAATATCGAAACATCTACCTATTTCAACAGTCTGTGGAGTTGTGTTTAAACCGTAAGAGCTAACACTTTGATGTACATTTGGTATACTATTTACTTCACCAATCATTTCAGAGTCTTCTTTATTTTTTGCAAATGGTGTAGCATCCATAACTGATGTTCTGTCATTTATAGGAGTCCCGGTGACAGAAGTGCTATTTCTAAGCAAAGCATGCTCAAAGTCATCGTAGTCTATGATCCTACTCTCTTGAACTCGCTCTACTCTGGTATCAAAATGAGATTTCGTACCAATTACATCGACGTTTTGATCTCCACAAGAAGAAGATGACACCCAGATCAGATTGCAATCGTATTCTTGTCCTATATTGTCAGAGCAATGATGTTCTAATGATTCCAATGAAGATAACAATTCAAATTCATCATTAAAAATCTCATTTCTCGGTTGATTTTGAGTATCCAATTGATCTAAATCTTTGGACACAAAATCACTTTCACCCATTAAAGATGGTATATTGTAGCTTATCTCTGACTTGTACTCATACAAGTCATCATCATCATCATCATCATCATCATCATGTAATTCAGGAAACGGATGCATGATTTCTGTGTCATTAGCAGAGTCTGAATATGTCACATAATCCCTATTGGAGCTTGTAACTGAGTAACCCTACAGAAGCATAATGCTTTAGATATAAAAGTGGAAAAATGATTCGGTAGAAACACGGGCACATATCACATATGACATTTACAAAGAAGCCTACAAACCTGACTAGATTTTCGTGTTGCAGGGTTCAGTAACTGTTGGCTAGAAGAATCCACATTGATGCTTTGAGACAACTCTATGCTTCTGCGAATGCATCCAACCATATCTTTGGGCATGGCTACCATACATGTCACAATATCAAAATCAGGAACCTGTCACCACATTTTTACATTAGCAGAAACTAAGGAACAAAATATAAATACCCCACATTAAGAGTATCGCGAAACTTACTTACATTTATACTTATAGACCTTGCTTTTTTCGAGAATGAACGTATACACATACAAACTCTTCGAGTATTTTTTCTCTCAACTACATCTGACGGAGTGAAGAGATCAATCCCAATCAATCCCAAAATTTTACAGATCTATACAGCAAAAGATACTAAAATTATTCAGACATGCAAATTAACATGTGATAAAACAATTCCAAATATGTGTTATGAAATAAAATAATTTACCTTGAGAAAAGAATCAACATTTGAATAAGGCCTATATATGCCACTGTTTCTCTTAGAAGAAAATGGATGATTTTTGTATGCTTTTATGTGCCTAAGCTCCATATGCTTTTCCAACAGCAATTTCCAGATTACTTTTGATACTTGAAACCTAAACAAACACCAATTACTTGAAAATCATTTGTAAACACAAATAATGAAATAAATGATTTGTTCTAAAACAAATACTGGTCCATATATGGAAAGTAAAAATGAAGATACTGACAGCAATTCTCCATCAGCAAGTAATTCAGATGTAATGAAATTCTCATCCAATCTTATCTGCAAAACTTCTCCTAGCCATATTCTGGTTTGAGTCTGTAAGTTTGGAAAACATAATTGGCATATTAATGAACAAACAAACAAACAAACAGTGATGAGTGATGATGATGATGATTAAACCTGCAAGAATGCGTCGTCGAGTTCACGGAAGCTGGACTCAACAAAGGAGGATGAATGAGCAGGAAGGTCAACCGTGGATGAAGATTCTTGACAAACCATTGCTATGTTTTACCCGAAAAAAGAGTAACAACCTTAAAGCATATAGGAGTACTAGTACATTTAGTTGGGTGGACAAAAAGTGTTGTGGAGTGAGTTACATAAGACACCGCGGAGATTCTTGGTCTCTTTTTGTTTGTGTTGTATTTTGGTAATATAGAAAAAGTAAGAAAGAAAGTGAGTGGGTGTGATTTGATGATGTTGGAATTATTAACTCGTTCATTCCTATGGATGGATGGGTCAGCGTCACCGATATCGTGTGTTAAGACTTGTCTAACAAATTACCCATCTATGTGTTTATTCACTTCCTTTTTACTACTACAACAAAGAATGCTACCACCTCTCTCCTCTAGTTATTATAACAAATTAATTTTTATTTATTTAATAATTAATATACTATTTCATGACAAAATGGATCATTCAATCAATCATAAATATGAATTTCGATAAATTAAATTATAATTTTAAAAAAAACTATATGACATGTAAGGTGAACTTTAATATAGCTTGTTTTTAAAAAATGGATTGATTTTTTTTTGGAATTTATAAAAGTCAATCCAAACACACATTTATATTTATTTGATTTAAAAACTATTAAAATAGATGTATGAGTGATAATACGCATTTGTAATAAAGTACTTTTTAAAATATATATTGTTTATAATTATTAAAATAAAATTATAATTTAATTTTAATAATAGAGAATAATAAAAGTTATTAAAATTGTATGGCTTTTATTTATTTATACTAAAGAAAAACAATTTTCATTTATTTCTATAAAATATTATTAATTAATTTATAAGCAAGAAACATTTTTCCCATAAACTCAGTTATGTAATAATTATTTTAATTTTATAAATTTTAATTAGAACAAACATTTTAAGTAAATTACATTTTCTCATTTTTGGATTAGTAACATTTTTTTTTCCATTTTTCTTTACATGTACCTATAAAAAAATAATAATATAATTTTGAGTCTGTTTATTTTGTCTTTTTAAAAAAAAAATATTTTTATTGTATTATATAATTTTATGTAAAAATAATTTATAAAATTTTTTTTCATAAAAGCTTCAAATTAAAATTTGATTTGAATAGTTATTCTTAAAGGTTATTTCAGGTATTTTATTATTTTATTGAATTTTTTTAAATCAAAAATTCAAAAAATCATTTAATTTTGAAGCTATTTCAATAGATTTTTATAAAAGTCATTTTTGAAATATAATTTTTCAAAAAAAATTACAATTTTTACTATATTAGTGTTTCAATTTAGAAAAAATAAATAAATTTTTTTTATAATATTTTAAAAAACGATTTTATAAAATTTATTTAAAAAAATATAAAAATAAAATCTATTTTTTAAAACTGAAACAAACAGTTGAAATGAAACATCGTAGACCGTACAAATTGCTTTATCTTTCATTCACTATAACTAATTTTATTCATTTAATTAATAAATTATTTATGATATATAAAAAAATATTAATTAATAAAATAAAAAATATATAATCATAAAGTAATAGCTTTATTTTTGTAATCATAAAATAATTATGAGTTATTCATAGTAACATACAATTTAATTTACACAAATATATTTAGCAATCATATAATTTACATTTTATTTAATATCATTTATTTTAGATTTTAATGTTTATTATTTTGTAAAGGAAATAATAAGATACATATTTATTTCGTGTATTTCTTTAAATTATTATTAAAGAATATTTGTTATATGTGTTAATATCTATTTTTCCTTTTATTGTATTAGTGATTTTTGAAAAATTCATTTTTTTTTGTGTTGATTTTCTATTTATCTTTTCTTGAATCTCCTTTAAAGTATGAAATAGAAGCTCGAGAAGGAATAGTAAAATCTAATTTATTTTTCAAAAAGGAGAATCAATGAGAAGGAGTTTATAACCCTCCAACTAGAACTAATCAACCTGCCTCTTCAACATCTTCATTTCCTATTTCATCTATGGGATCTAATGCTTCTTCATCATACATGCTCAATTTCATTCTAATGTCTAACCTAAAAGCTGAATAATTAATTTCATAAGAAATTCAGTCATTAGAATCATGACATGAAACACTTTTTTTGGTTTTTTATTTCATTTTAATGGCGTGAATTGTGAAATTGACATTTTTTTTCTAATTCTTCATTTTTTTTTAAATTCATGTGACATTTATTTTTATTTTTATTTTAAATTTAAAGATTTTAAAAATTAAAAATCTAAAATTTTATCGCAAGCACGCATATATATATATGTTACCTTCCTATGAGTCTAACTATCCAACGCCCTTTCCATAGGGTTATATAGCTTGTTTCACGAAAGGTATGTATATAAGATAATTTATTTTTCCTATTTTATTTTTCCTCTTTTACTTTTTTTTTTAATTTTTCTTGTTTTTCCTATTTTATTTTTCCTGTTTTACTTTTTTTGTTTGTTTTATTTTTCTTGTTTTTTCTATTTTATTTTTTCTATTTATTTTTCTTGTTTTTCCTATTTTTTTTATTTATTATTTCTCTTGTTTTATTAGATAATTATTTTTCTATTTTATTTTTTATATGTATTTTTTTCTTTTTTTTCTTGTTTTAATATTTAATTATTATTTATTTCATAATATGAAAGTTAAAGATATTTTAATGATTTATTTCAATTATTATTTTATCTCACAATATATAAACAAGTAAATATTTATATATGTCTTATTTACTTATGTCTTTTAAATAACTAAATTTTATTTATGTATTATTTAAAATAAGTATATAATTATTTATTACTTATTTTATAAAATAAATACATATTTATTTATATATCATCTTGAAAAAATAAATATTTATTTATATCATATATTAAATAAATAATACTTACTTGTATCTTATCTTAAATAAATAAATATTTATTTAATAAATTATTTAAAATATTTACTTATTCAAGATAATATACAAATAATTATTTTTTTGGGAATTAAATACTTTCACTTTCAAAATCAATGAAGACATCTGATCCACATTGGATTTAGGTAGACTTACCGTTTCAAACTCTACCACATTTACATGTATATTAATAGTCCTATGCATATTACATCTCATAGCTATATTATATATTACGGTGTCTTTTGTTGAAATATTAAATTAGATTTAATTAGATTTAATATTTAAATATAATTCAAGTTGTTTTAGCTTAAGTCCAATTAGAGTTGTATATAAATAGTTATAGTGTGTATCATTATTTGTACAATTCAATAATACAAATTTCTATTTCCTTTATTATTCTCTCTTTCTCTCTTCATTAAAAGTGCCTCACGCACTAACAAATTGGTATCCAGAGCTTCCGGTTATTGTTTTTGATCAAGTTTTCAAGAATTTCACATCAGACATTGTTTTTTCTAGGACAAGTGAATCAACCGCTGCGAAGATGGCTAGTGATAAAGGTATTCTGAATTCTCTTCCAATGCTTGACGGCAAAAATTGGATCCGATGGAAAAAACAGATGCAATCCTTGTTTGGCTTCCATGAAACCCTTGAAGTGGTTACCAACGGCGTTCATGCGTTGACTGCAAATGCAACTGACGAACAAAAAAAAAGCCCACAACAAAGTCAAGAAGAAAGATTGCAAGGTTGCTTATTACATTCAAACGGTTGTCGACGCTGCTAACTTCGACAGAATCTCTCATGTTGAAACGGAGAAGGAGGCATGGGATATTCTGGTAAAGTATTTCGAAGGAGGTGAGAAAGTCAAGGTTGTCAAATTACAAACCTTGCGTCGACAATATGAGTTGTTGTCGATGGGAGAAGATGAAAAAGTTGCAGAATATGTGTCGAAGGTTCAGAAACTCGTCCATCTCATGAAGGGTTGTGGTGAAATCATTACTGATAAGATGATAGTTGAGAAGGTAATGAGAACGTTGACCTCTCACTTTGATCATGTTATCGTAGCTATTCAAGAATCCAACAATCTTGAAACCACTAAAGTGGAAGATTTGGTTGGTTTGTTGGAGGCGCATCAGATGAGGATTGTCGAAAGGAAATGAGTTCAGGACACGATACAGGCACTACAAGCTCAGTCATGGAAAAAGGATGGTGGTTCCAACAAATTCAAAGGCAAGTTCGAGAAGACTTATGGCAAGAAGTCTTGGTCGAATCCCTATAAGAATAAAGTCGAAGATAGATCTTCTGAATCCTCGAAAGGGGGAGGAGGAAACTATCGAAAGGACAAAGAAGATAAGAAAGGTATGCAGTGTTATAACTGTGAAAAGTGGGGACACTTGGCGAATAATTGTTGGTACAGAAAAGACAAGGGATCGAAAGGAAAGGATGAAGGAGCGAATCTTGCACGCCAAGATTCAGATGATTCTGAAGGTGGTATGGTGGTTATGGTTGCAGTTGCAGATAACCATGTCGAATTTAATATCTGGTTTCTCGACTCAGGCTGCTCGAACCACATGATTGTTCGAAAGAAGTGGTTGGCAGATTTTGACGAGTTGAAGAAAAGCATGGTAAAACTTGCTGATAATAGTTCGTTGCAAGCAGAAGGTACTGGAAACATAGTCTTTCAAATGAGTAATGAAGGGAAATCTATGATCAAAGATGTGCTATATGTACCTGGAATGAAATGCAACTTGCTAAGTGTTGGACAACTAGTCGAAAAAGGTTTCTCAGTTGTCATGAAAGATGGAATTTTGAAATTGTTCGACACCAAGACCAATTTAGTCTTAAAATCTCCATTGTAGAAGAACATGACATTTAATACTATGATCAGTTTGACAGAAGTTCAATATTTAAAAACTGTTGTGGACCACAAGGAAAGTTGGTTGTGGCATTTTAGGTTTGGACATTTGAATTTTTGATCACTTAATCAACTGATTACTCAAGATATGGTTACTGGTATTCCAAGTCTTGAGATGCCTAAAAACTTTGTGAAGGTTGTTTAGTGGGAAAGCAATCCAGAAATTCTTTCGTTTCGACTATGTCAATGAGATCATCCTGCATTCTCGAAGTGGTG